GTATCGCAATATATCGGGATATATCGTATCGTGACCCCTCTGTCATAATATGTATCGTATCGCCAAATTCTTGCCAATACACAGCCCTAAAACAAGCTTATTCCAATGGTTTGAGTTTAAGTTTAAAATTAAATGTTTCAAAAAGTAGCTCTTGGACAATTTCATTTCATGAAAGTAGCTCTTAAGGGAAACAAAAAAGKTTGGAGACCCCTGCTCTAAACTAAAGTCAGAAAACTTCAGTATCTGTGACAGGTAAGATATTAATTGTTTAGTAGTTAAATGTCTCCCTGACATCCTGTCCACCTAGTCCCTCTGTATTTCCTCATCTTAACTCATATTTGTATGAGTGTTGTACATAATTCAACATTAAATTATAAATAGTATATTTCACATAAAGTTGGACCCTGTTCCATTTTTATAAATGTAACCGTTGTGGTCCGTGCTGCGTCCGAACGAGGACAGCCCCGTGACCTTCGTTCCTCCAGAGGTTAATTTTCCTTCGCAGCTGTAACCTTTTCTTTTCATCTACCATCATAATTAAGGCTCATTGTAAATCAGTGAATATGACCAGATGCAGCATAATGGACAATTATTAGCATTTATTTGATTTCAGCTTGATTTGTTATTCAGAGTGTTTGCCATCCATCAGCTGTAAACTGCAGGCGCGTATCTAAGACACCGTGATTGAAGGGGGCATTTTATCGATCACCTCCTGGGGTAAAATTATCTTCTCTCCAGGAACTCCAGTCTTTATTTTATACTACAAACACTCTATGAAAATAATCTGAAATTTTACAGATGTTTTTGAAACATCCTCAAAGCATCCATTTAGTATCTAAAATTTCTTGTAAAATGTAAATGTTTTTAAAATATTTCAGTAGCATAGATGTTATAAACTAATAAAACAAAATGCTGTCACCCTGACATGCTTCTCACTCAAACAAAACATACAAAAAGTCAAGGAAAACATCTTTATATTTAAGAAACGTAAGCATACACATGATTTGTCTCATAACTGACATATTTTCTTCAAGAATTGGCTCAGCCAAAGTGAAACAGGAAGTGACATCAAAGGGGAACTCTAAGAAATTAAACTGTATTTAGCAATATTTGAACTCAAAATAATAAAAAAACATCTCTACAGTCTGTCATTAAAGCTGTTTCCATGCAGACATTCCCCTTTGACATCACTTCCTGTTACTTCACATGAAAATATCTCAACAACCGTTCATCTCAGCCGCGTGAAATTCTTTGTGCAACATTTTATCAATGTTGTCTTTCAAAAAATGCATTGTTTGAAAAAAATTGATGTCACAGGCCCTTTAAAGAAACTGAGGATGGTAGTATTGAGGTTTTTGTTTTTATTTGGAGACTCATTACGTAATAAAAGCAGTCAAACAATCAAATAACCTGCTTAAACCCTCGACCGAAACAAGACAAATGTGGGGATAAATCCAGTTAAATGGCAAGCTGCCATGTTGGTTTTCATCACGCAGACCCAAAATGGCACGTCGGGTAAGAAATGAGTCATTATTTTAGGCTCTAAAGGCTGTGGTCTGCAGTTTTCTTAATCCTACACACTTGTCTGTAAAACCAGTTTAATCTCTTTCTGATTTTAGAGCCAAAATCAATCCTAAAAATAAAAAAAAAAACAAAGACTTAGAAAATTAGTTTTGGCTTCAAAGCCGAATTGTCAGTTGGTTCTAACCGCACAGACTTTAGTGACAGTCTGTATTTGTATTAAACTAAGATCAGGTCATTGATTAGAGATTTTCTTCTTTCACTGGTTTCTTCAAACACAAACTGTCAGTCTGAGCTTTGAGTAAATACATTTAGAAAGATGTTTTAAATGACTTTAATGTTTGCGTTTCCATTGATTTGATGTCTGTTTGTGTTCAGGCATTGCTCTGGAGAAGGTGTTTGACTACAGTGAATACTGGGAGGTAACCAGAGGTCTGTACGCTCCGTTCGACTGCACCGCCACCATGAAGTCAGGCAACGCTGACGTGTATGAGAACGAGATACCAGGAGGACAGTACACCAACCTGCACTTCCAGGTACATAAAACTGCTGCTGGAGCTTCACTGAACTTTGTTCTTTAATCTCATGGATGAATTATAAAAAACAAAAACAGCTATGTGATTTAACTCTTATTGTGTTGTTTGCTGTTTAGACTAGATTTTATGATGGTACAGGATTTCTGCAGGGCATTAAGAAGCATTAAAAGTCAATGAATGACTCCTAATGCAGTTACATACAGTGTATAATACGTCAACACTGAGTTCTGCTTTACGCCTCTTGGTTCTCTGATGCTCAGTTAAATAAGTTAGAATTGAAAGGAGAAGTTTGCAAACTAAGATTTGACTGTATCTTCTGTAAAATAAAACAAAACAATTATAGTTTAAGTTTATCTGTTTGCAGTGAATGACATTAAAGTGGTGTTTTAAAAAATGTGTAATTTATGGATTCACTGTTAACGGGATTAAAATAGTTTTAAAATGGGATTATAAAGCATTACATTTGATTGCCTGACTTATACAGAAACCCTGTTGAATTGATGTTTTTACTATGTAAATATATAAAATATTTTTGAAGGAAGTCTACTGTATTTAAAAAAGGAAGAAAAATACATTTTGGGTAGACCTTTCTTAAATTGTATCTATATAATACTGTAGTACTGAAGCCAACAATTTATATAATAAATGCATAAGAAAATAATCAATWTAAAGATAAATTAATAAATACACAATAATAAATATTTTTTGGTAAGAGTTGAATTTTAGCTGCTTAATGTGTAATAATATAAAACCAAATAAATTTAATATTTGTCAGTTTAGAATTGATTAAAATAAAAACTTATTTTAAAAGAACCTGCCGAAATCAAAGTGTTTTTGAATGAAAATATTTTCTTGTAACATTTCCGTGTTTAAATCAATTTTGTTACACATTTTATACAAACAAGTGTCTGCAGCTTCTAACACTCTGGACGTTTTTAAGGTTAAGGTCAAACTATATGAAAATGTTGTCAAACACTAAATACATCTACGTTTAAGAGGGAATATAAAGAATCTCTTTGAAGCCTTTTTGGTTGTATACATACTGTAACGCTAACAATTAGACCAACTACAGAATTTGTGTTTTATGCAGAATTGCAGTGTGAAAGCCTAATGCTGAAAGATTTTTTCAGAACAGAAATTGTGTAATTTGTTGTAAATGTCCCAAAAACAACTGAAAATATAAGAAATGTAGCTTAAAAAGCTGAATCCAGCACAAGGAAGCAGACATGGCTTGTTTGCTGAATTAAACAGGTGAAAGAAAGTAGCTAAAATGATCATAAAAATGTTAAATTAGCTGAAAAAGGCTAATAATAACTTAAAGATGCATTAAAAACTTAGATTGCAGAAAATCATTAAAAGAAGACAAGCTTAAATTTATCAACGAAGTTGATATGAGCACAAAATTTAATTAGCAGAATGGCTGAAAAAAGCATAAAAAATATTAGCAAAAATTAAGCCTAATAGAGCTAAACTGATCACAAAGCAGAACTAGAACAAAAGGTGTAAATTCTGTATTAACATTTTTGACAGGTGTTAAAGTTTAAAACAGCTCCTTTAATTTAATGAGGAAAAAATGGCCAAAAAGTTATTAATGTCAAAAWGTATAAATTGCTAAAMTACCAAAAGTCATAGCCAGAAGGTCCTGAAGGAGCTGAACGTTTTGGTGTAGGGTTGAAATAGAACAAAAATTTGTGGAACAAGATATGAGACGAAAAATGTCCAGGAAGAAAACTCAGTAGATTCAAACAAATATAAAACCTATGAGTGGTTTAGTCATAACAAAATCTTAGTAAGTTGTCTAAAACGTTATGTTACAGGACCAAATATTCCAGAGTTTTTCACCTGTCAGGAATAAAAGTAATTTTTTATAAAGTGTTGATCTGAAGTCCAGAGCTGCAGCTGATGGTTTAAACTTGGACTCCACATGAGTCCATCTGGCTTTCATCAAACAAGAAAAAGTTTTCGATGCCACTACACACAACATGACCCGGTGGCTTGGCGAGCGTTGCTTGACATTTCCCCCACTTTAAATGGGGGTCTCATAAAAAGTTTTCTATTTCCTGCTCAGCCCTGCTGTCGTTTGTTTCATGTGGCTCATTGCAGGCTCACAGCATGGGGCTGGGAAATAAGTTCAAGGAGGTGAAGAAGGCTTATGTGGAAGCTAACAAACTACTGGGAGACCTCATTAAGGTGAGACCAGACAGAACTACACAATTCATTCATGGTTTTAGTCACCAGGTAACACGACACCATTAACACAAATGTGTGCAGTCRGCCATTATTGGCAGGTGTTCAGCTGTAATCTAGACGACTAAGGCTTTGGCTTTTCCTAAAAACTTCACTGAAACGCATCACAAAGAAAATGTTGATTACTTTCAGATGGTTTTGATCCATTTGCAGAGCTGAAGGTGGATGAAATAATCCCACCAGTGTTTCCCCTACAGTACTGGCCTTGGAAGGACGGGGAGGGCTTTTAAACAGAATGATGATCAACAGCAGAAATATTACGAGTATTTATTAAATAAATATTAGTAACAATAAATAAAATTTAAAGAACATAAAGCATTAGTTTAAACATATCTTTCACTTAAACAACTAATATGTCTAGTCATAAACCAATTTCAGATATCTGGAATGTAAATGTGGCGAAGCAGATTAAATGTAAAAACAGCCTGCCATACCCATTAGCTTTCGCGTGTTTCTGTAAATGATCTGCTGCACTGCCAGAGCAGAAGCTGACTGTTAAATTGGCAAGATGGACTTAGGAGGAAGCAAATCTCCACATCTTTTATCTCTACAGTTAACGGAGAAAAAAAAGTTTTTCTTCATCTGACTTCCTACAGCAGGAGAGAGACCTGAGGATTTATCCCCCATGTCACAAAATTTCAGTTATATTTGAGAAAATATTGAAATTGTTGTAATACATTAATACAGGTCAAAACTTACTCTCAATTAATACGACCTCGACTTTATGATTGTTTCTGGGTGGGGGGTGGGGGGAGGTGTGTGTGTGGGGGGGTGTTATTGGATTCAGCCGGCCCCTTGTACAATGTTAGGGGAAACACTGCCCACATTGTAACGTATCACCGTAACATTTCTGCTAAGTTTCAGCTGTTTGTGTTCATAACAGTGTTTGTTTTCCCTGAAACCAAAGCTTTTTTGAATTCAGGTCTCAGACTGGAGGTTACTGGAAGCACATGGCATCGGTGTGAAATTGTGCTACAGACGGATGCAGTCGATAGATTTTCTGAACTTACGTTAGTAGAGAAACAACAGTAACAATAGCGGATGGCAATTAATCATCAATAAAACATTGGCATACATTGGGTGATACTTGGAATTTGTGTATCAATCCACTACCAAGTAAATGCAAAACTTGTATCACCAATACTGATGCAGATGCTTAAAGGAGACCAATTATGGGTCCTAGAAATGTTTATGGTATGTCTGTGGGCTGTCCAGACCATGTTCATTCAATTTAATGCACAAAATAATTCTCAGATAATAAAATTTCCCATTTTCTAGTTCTGCCTGCTCTGACTTCCGTTCAGAAGAGCTGTTTATGTTAATGAGCTCTGTTGGTAACGCCCTCCAAAAATCTGTTGACATTAACTCCGCCCTCCAAAGCCAACATTTACGTTAGCATGGCTAATAATAGCAGAAGCTCCGTTGTACAACCATATGAGACCATGTGAGACCCAGAGGCAGAGTCGTGGTCACAGCTTCTTTCTTTTTTTTCTTTTCCTCACTCTGCATGCTGTTACCAGAACAAGGAGCAGCAGAGGTCAAAATACCTCAGAAACTCGAACAACTAGGCCCCTGGGTGCATTGTTTTGGTCCTAGGACTGTTTTTTTAAGAGGTACATACCCAAAGTTGAGTAAAAAAACCTTTAAAAAGTGAATTTTGCATAGTAGGTCCCCTTTAACATTTAAAGTTTGCTCTAAAGTATTCTGTGTACCTTCCACATAATTTGTTTTAGCTGTGTTTCCAGTTTACTCAGATTTGTGCTGTTTTTAATCAGCACATYGTTAATGGATATTTACATAAATTTATGCATGTTAAAAARTGAATTTTGCTTAATAGGTCCCCTTTAAGTTCATTTGATTTTAATTTWGGATTTTTGCATTTAGTGAATTATGATAAAACATAGGATTTTAGGCAAAAACATTTTTTGTATGAACTTACTACAACAAAATAATGCAAAGTATAAAATAACAAAACTGAAGCAAAAATGTAACAGTATACAGAATAATGTCAATACAACAAAAAATAACTTCATAATAACCTACCATAAACCATTTGTAAAACAAAGTGTAAACAAAAGAATCAATGTCATTGTTCTAGTATAGATCAGATATGATACATATTTTTTTTCCAATATGGTATCGATAATATCAATATTTAGATCGATACTCCCACCCCTAAATGTGGACCAAGGCCACAAYGTTGGCCATATTTAAGTGTTATCTGTTAATCATTATCAGCTAAATACMACAGTGGTGAATACTGTCCAACCCTGGTCCAAGCAAAGGTTTTGGATGYAACTGTTTTCATGGTCTTGTTGAAAACCACAACTCCCCTGCCTCCAGTAGAGACAAATATACAACTAAAGTTTGTGTAAGATCGTTTTAGGGTGGAGCCCTGCGCTTTTTGTGCTTGTTCGTTAATCACAACTCACTCAGCACATCTGTCAGTTTGGTTCACATTACCATCATTTAAAGTGACAGGMTGTTATTCGTCATTTCTTATCTGGCAACCCTGCCTGGCACGTTAACTGCATCTGATTCAAGGAGCACAGCCATATCTGTAACATTTGAAAACGTTTCCAGGGACGGTTCACGTGTAAACGAGGCTTAAATCTGGTTTATCAGCAGCTTCCTGCTTGTTAAATTCACACCCAGCTGTGTTTGCACCGCCTCTCCTTACAATCAGCACCTCTTCTGCCTTCTGTTTGTTTATTCCGTCGCTTGTAGTTTTCAGAAAATGTTGATCGGGATGGTTTCAAACAGCTCCCGCTCGAAGCGAACAAGTCTTTGCACTGATTTCCTGAAGGCAGTGTTGAATGTCGTCATGGAGAGACGCTCTATTACCAGTTCTGTAGTGAACAGACTCATTCACACCCAGAATTTACCTCCTGCCTGTTTTTCTGGTTCTCATTATCTTTCATTAAATCCTTTGTTTTCCTCCCTTCATTATTTACTATCACACCCGGTAATAGATTCATTCCTCTTTCTGTGTTCACCCTGTAATTATTTGATTTTATTTGCACACACTTTTCCTTTTATTGTTTGCACCTTTCTGCTCTTTTATTGCATTGTCTCACACTTATTTATTCTGTTTTTTTTTTCATCATAAGGAATCAATGGGAGCTTGTTTATTTTACCACCTCTCTCTCTCTCTCTCTCTCTCTCTCTCTCTCTCTCTCTCTCTCTCTCTCTCTCTCTCTCTCTTTGTATTCTCCTTGTGTCTCTCCCTCAAATTTAACTCTCTGGTCCTTTCTCCCTACTTTCATTTGCCCATCTCTGCTTCCCTCATCAATTCTCTCCCCGACTTCCCCGACTCTCTCCCCGTGTTCTCTATCAATTCAATTAAGACTCTGTGGGCTTCACTGCACAAGCCAATGTTGGCTCGATGTGCCTACGGGTGCTGCGTTGCTCTCTGTTGTACCCTGTTAGCTTGACAATGGCAGTGTCTCTCACACTGTCAGCCTGTCTATAACGTGGGGGGGTTCTGCTTACGAGATGCAGACATAAAGAGGACACGCCACATAAAGCCCCCCGGTATGCAAAGCTCCCAATATATTGCCTTCAAGGCGTGATRTTTCTCACACTTTGAAGTTTGGAGCTGCCTGTGAAGGATCAAGCCTGTCAGAAGACATGTTTATATAACTTTTAACTTCAAGAACAATGACTTTACCACACTAAAAAGACTCATTCTTTAAAAAAAACAAGGGAAGCTTTAACATTTAATGATTGCTGGAGCATTTGCATAAAAGTAATCTGCTTTAAATTGAAGGGGTAATTGACATCTTTTGAAGTTTGGTTTCTGTGGAAAGGTTATGGACTAATTAATATTTGTGACTTGATGGTAGGGAGGAGCATTTTCAGTAAAAATACTCTCCCAAGTGGTTGCTTTTTATTTGAGTTTTCTTAAAATAAACAAATCCCATCAAAGAATTAAAACGGAATGGGACAGGAAATGTCAGGGTTTATGATTTTATTTTGTTAAGATGCCATCTTTGGTTTAAATCAGCGATGTCAGACTCATTTTCACCGAGGGCCACATGATTGTCTTTGTTACCCTCAAAGGGACRGTTGTAATTAACCTTAATGTTTCGTGTTTCACATCAACTAACCATCATGTTCCTCTTCTCCCTACGGCTGAGCATCGCTAACTAACTGAGCTCTACCTGGTGTTTCCTGCATACAAACAGTGTTTTAATACATCCTCTTATAAACACTGCAAAGTACTATATGAACGAGTGAATAAATGTGAAATAAATAAAACAAATACTATTAAAAGTAAGAGTTTTACTCATCGTTGTTATTGTGAGTAGCTTCCATCTTAAATTCTGAACTCTCCCATTTTCCCACAGGGAATTCCCACTAGAGTGGTGTTTTAGTTTATATTTGACTTTTAGGTGGGAAATTCCCACTTCACAGTACGAGGGGGCTTTAGCAAACGTAGCTGGCGGAAATGCAGCCAAATAGAGATTTTATACAGCAAATTTCTGCTGTTGCTTGCTATTTTTGAACCCTGTGTACCTCCACTTGGTGGTGTGATGTCATTATTTCGTGGGTAAAATAATTGACTTGAATTAAGGGAGATGTAGCTTATRGTCTCTGCTAGCTTCAAAGCAGCTCATTTTAAAATATTAATACATAATTAAAGTTCTTGCGGGCCATATGAAGTTCTGTGGCAGGCCATATTTGGCCCATGGGCCTTCAGTTTGACAGCTGGTTTAAATAAATGTCTTCAGAKATTCTCCATAAACCAAACACATTTTAGCATAAATTATACTTTCACACTGCAGGTCCTAATGSCAAATTCAGATTTTATTTGATCAGATCTATTTTTAATTTTTTAGTGGTCTTTTACATAAATTAAATGCAACATAATCAGATTCTGAACATCTACACGTTCAAGATTCATTTATTAATAGCTAAACAACAGATTGGTGGAATTTTGC